TCTCTCTCTCTCTCTCTCTCTCTCTCTCTCTCTCTCTCTCTCTGTACACGTGCACGCGCGCAGGTGCCCACCTGCAAACATACACATATAAGAAAAATAAATAACTTTGTAATTTTTAAAAATGTTTTAAAAAGGCAGAGGTTCTAACAACTCCTGACTGTTGAGTGACATTTCACTATTTTGTATTTATTTGCTTTCATAGTAAGTACTTTGTAATTTTAATTCAGTAAATTGCCTATGTGCATCTTTTTTTCGGTAAACAGGGCAGGAGTCACCAAGAGACACTTTCTAAACTTTGGCACTAAATGACTTTGAAAAAAGCTGCTGTATCTCTGGAGGCTGGAAATGAAATGGTTGAAAATGGGGGGTGGGGGCCTGCACTGTGTGATTTCTCTCTTTAAAATCCTAATCAAGAAAATCTGAGTATCCACCATGTGTCAAGCACAAGTTTTGGTATGTTAGGGAACTATCATGAATGAAACAGAAACAAACATCACACTCTTCTGGAGTTTATAATATAAAAAATAGAAACAGAGAATAAAATGTAACATAACAAGCAAATGACACATTATTTGGATGATGTGATTAGTATGGGAAGCAATGCGCTGTGAGGCAAAGAGATGATGTTTTCACTGTCGCAGATAATGCTAAACTCACCAGAACCTGAGCAGGCTTCTTCTTTTCAAAGCTAAGCTTCCTCTCAATAAAGGTGGCACTGTTGTCCTTTACAAAATTCAAGTTTTGAACCTCTTCCAGCACTCGATTTTGAATCTCAGAGATGCTCAAGACGGGCAGTGGCATCTGTGGGTAAAACAGTGTGGTGTTTTCAGACAACCTATCACACTGGGCACTGACTCTGCCAGGGTTGTGGTGATGGCGGGAAATGTAAGACAGTGCCACGGGGAGAAATCCGGGCAACTTGAGAGCTTCTACAAAGATGGGCAATCTGATATTTCTGAAGCCACACAAAATGGCAGGGATACTTTTCTTTCTTACGTTTCAAGACTCCATAGTAGAACAAAACAGGAAAGGGGCACAAAAGACCCAGGAGTGAAGGGCTGAAGTTGTGGTATTAGCAGTGCCCCAGGTGGGACAGCGGGAGCAGACAGGTAATGAGCTTACAACAAGAAGCATGGTTGGAAGTGTTCCTGTGTTTGTCCTATACGTTTAACATGTATGGAAGCTGGAAACCAGGAATGGACAGTTGTTGGGGGTGCATATAAGGAGGGGAACGGTAGAATATATGTAAAATGAAAGTAGAGAGGGGGTGTCTGGGGCAGAGGAAGAAGGCTTAAACTAATGGAAGAAGCTATTTGTGGCCTATGCTCTTGCAATCCAAGTTAAAAAAAAATATAATAGGACATAGAACATATGTGATTTGGACACCGGGGGAGAATATTGGGAGATAAAGGTTTAAGCGAGGAATAGGGTCAGGTATGCGGTGGCGGAGGGTAGGGGGTAGATTAAACAAAACTAAGGATATATGGAGAAACCTTATCAAAACATAATTTGTTAAAAATGAGTTTAGCCGGGCGGTGGTGGCGCACGCCTTTAATCCCAGCACTCGGGAGGCAGAGCCAGGCGGATCTCTGTGAGTTCGAGGCCAGCCTGGG